GCCCCGCACTGGGCATGCATCCCAGCAACCCCAGCCAGAGCTGGAGGCTTCTTGTGGAGGTGATTTATCCCTCGTGTCACCTGCTCCCCTGCCGCCCCCTCCTTGACTTTACAAAACAGTTCTCAGTAAATCAGGGACCCAGCTTCCACAGGGCAGGGCAGGGGCAAGGGGGCTGGCTCATTTCAGGAATGAGATGGCACAGAAGGGATTGGGGATTCAGCGTGAACCTTCACAGCAGGGGCTCCAGGACCTGGGAGAAGGCAGGTGCCAGGTATAAATATTTATTTCTTAACAAGCTGGTGCCGAGAAGAGGAGCCAAGCTGGGCTGTGAAGCCACATTTAGCCCTGACCTGAATCTGTGCCACCTGGACTCCTGCCTGGTGGGAGGGAAGAGGAGGCGGCTCTGTGCGCGGCCCCAGGGAGTGGGGAGGGTCTAAGAGGTGCCAGGCCGGCTGCTGCTGGCGACCTGGACTCAGTGTCCTGCTGGCTTCCTGTCTCGGTCTTTCAGGAACAAGGTTTTCCACACTCTGCTAAGGTGGGAACCTTCTCAGAGCTGGTGGGAGGGCCTGAAGGTTAATCACAAAGGGATGCACTCTCTGTCCTAACAAGGTCATCTGCACACCCACACATTTAACCACAGGACAAAGGCACCGTGCAAAATGCAAAAAAAAAAAGAAAAAAAAAGCATGAGCACGCAGCACAGTAGGCGGGCACCTAGCTGCTCACTCAGTCCCTGCCCAGCCCAAGCATCAGCCCATCTGCCGCCAGCAGAGGGGTTGCTTTCTGAGTCCACCACCACCTCGCAGTCCCTGGGGCCTGAGACCTGTGGAAGCCGGGAAGAGGGAGAGGTCAGTGCCAGCCTGGAAGTTGAGAGAGGAATGCAGCGAGATGTAGGAAAATTCGAGAGCAATCCCAACAATAATAGCGATCATTTATTAAACTAACAACAGGCCCGGCCCTGTGCTAAGTGGTTTATAAGCCTCATCTTATTAAATCCGTATACTAAGCCTACGAGGTAGATACTCTCAGCATCCCCATTGTACAGATCGGGAAACTGACCCTTGGGACAATTAAGCATCTTGACCTTGGTCACATAGTGAGTGGCAGGCAACGCCAAGAATTGAGTCCTGCCCGCCTGAAAGTGAATCAGATACCCTTTCACTCCTCAGCTACCCTGCCTCTGAGTGAACCAGTATCCGGCACAAATTTCCAACCACGACTCCTATTATGGCATTCACCCTGCGCCTTCCTCAGCCCCCCAGACCCTATCTAGGGCCTTTTAGTCTACCTAGTCAGTGTTGTTCAGAGTGTGGTCCCCAACCAGCTGAATCAGCCTGGTCCTCAAGTCCTCAGGCCCCAACCCAGTCCACCCTCCAGCCCTACAGCATCAGAAAGCCTGGGGGGCGGGCCCAGCCATCTGGGTTTCACCAAACTCTGCAGGTGACTATGATGCAGGCTCAACTTGGAGGACCATCTCACCAGATAAATGCCTCAACCCTCCCATCTGCCATTCCCTCCCTCTCCCCTTCCAGCCCTCACTTGTTCTCAGCCCCAAACCTGGAACACTGCCTGCCCTTCATCTTCAGCTGCCTCGTCACTCACCCACCTTTCTGGATCCAACTCAAAGCCAATCTCTTACAAGAAGCGTTCCCTGATCGATAATGATTATGCCTCATGTTTATATAGCATTTTTATCTTTCAAAGACCTTTCACATACATTGTCTCATTTTATCTTCTCAACAACCCTGCCAGGAAGCAGGGAGAATATGATCCCCATTTAACGGGTAAGGAGATGCAGTTGAAGGGGGTGAGGAATCTGCCCCAGGACCAGGGGCCAGTTAAGGGGAGAGCCTGGGCTAGGGCCCAGGCTACTAGGCCTGGACCAGCGGTTCTCCAAGTGTGGTTCCTGGACCAGTAGCATCAGCTTCACCTGGGAACCTGTTAGAAATGCAAATTCTCAGAGCACACTTCGGGCATCCTGAGTCGGAACCTCTTGGGACAGAGCCCTACATCCACATTGGAACAAGCCCTCCACGTGCTAGGCTAACTGGTGAGGCCTCCTGTCCTAGCCCCAAAGCTCTAGAAACATCTTCCTTTTCCTGGAATGACCTCCATCTCAGCTTCCTCAAAATGACTGTGGTCAAGTTCACACGTCAATTTCTGCCATCTCCTATGGCTGTCACGCACCTATGTTTGCCAGCTTAGTGTCCCCCCAATACGTTGAAGTCAGGAAGTAGGTATAAGTGAATTTTATAAATATCCTAATTTCTAGCAGAGTGCATCTCAATTTACTTAGGCCTTAATTGCACGTTTCTGCATGAAATTGCTAACAGCTGGTAGGGTCAGGAGCCATGATAGTGATGGTGACTTTCCCCTTTGGCCCCATTCATTCACTGTGTACCCAGTCATTCCACCCACGTATGCCAAGCTCCTGTGATGGGCAAGAACCTTTCCCAGTTCTCCCCTAACCATGAAGTCATGTTGTAAAGCTGTGCATTTCAAACTTCCGTGTGCATAGGATCGCCTGGGGGTCTTGTGAAATGCAGGTTCTGTTTCAACAGATCTGGGTGGGGCCTGAGAGCTCTAACATGGGTGTGATCTCAGATGACACCAATGCTGCTGTTCCAGGGACCCCTTTGAGTAGAGGTTTGTAAAGCATCAATTCCCAGGTAGCACGAGAGAGACCCAGAAAACCGAAAACGAAAGGGTGCCCAAGGCCCTAGGGAGCAGCATCACCACCTCCTCCAGCGCTGTCCCCTGGCATGCCCTGCCTCGCGTTTTACATTCCAGCACCACTCAGCCAACTGCTGTGGTTTCCCT